GGTTCACTTCTCGGTTCTGGTCTAGTTTTCAGCAAGCCATGATAACGAAACTGTCTCTTAGTACTGTATTCCACCTTTAGACTGATGGACAATCAGAAAGGACGATCCGCACACTGTAGGATATGCTCCAAACTTGTGTTCTTGACTTCGGGGGCTATTGGGATGATAATTTACCCCTGATAGAGTTCACCTATAATAACAACTACCAAACAAGTATTGGCATGGCTCTGTATAATGCGTTGTATGGTCGTCCATGCAGATCATCGATATGTTGGAAAGAAGTAGGTGATAGAAAACTATTCAGTTCAGATCTCGTAAAGGAGACTACAGCCAAAATAGTTAAGATTAAGAAGAACATTATAACGGCTCAGAGCAGGTAGAAGAGTTACGTGAATACTCGGAGGAGGAATTTAAAATTTGAGAAAGGTGATTAGGTGTTCCTCAAGGTCACTCATTTAAAAGGAATCAGTAGGTTTAGTAAGAGGAGGAAACTAAATTCCCGGTTCATTGGGCCATTCGAAATCTTAGACAGAATTGGCATCGCCGCCTACAGACTGACATTGCCTCCAGAACTTTCTAGGGTCCATAATGTATTTCATGTGTCCATACTATCTAAGTACAACCCGGACCCCTCTCATGCCTTGGGTCACGAGCCTCTTTCACTCTAGAAGAATCTGTCCTACGAGGAAGTACCAGTCGGTATTGTGGACCGAAAGAGTAAAGTACTCCGCAATCGAAAAATTCTTTTTGTTAAGATCATATGGCAGAATCACACACCGGGAGAGGCCACATGGGAGCTAGAATCAAACTTTAGAGCCCAATATCGCCGACTGTTTAATTGAGTGAGAGATAAACAAATTTAAGGGACCAAATTTCTTTTAAGGGGGGAGAGTTGTAATGCTCTAATTAATTTTAATTGTAATTAAAATTAAGGAATAAATATAATTTTCTAATTTTTTAAAATTTTATTTAAGGTAAAAATGAAGAAAAATAAATGGGCAATGAAATTGAAAATAATTTTAAAAAAAATGGGTAAAAATTTAGGTTCTGAGGGTATTTTTAAAAGAAAAATTGAAAACTGTAGGTTAAAACGTAATTTAAAAAAATTGTACTACGTAGGACGCCCAATCAACAGTCCTAACAAATAGGAGCACGCTGCGTGGCAAGGGACGCTGATGCGGTGCCATGCACGACGCCATAATGGCGATCCACGTGCCCGCGATCTGACAGTCCAGATTCGTTCCCGCGTGCACGGATGGTCCGGATCCGTTCCCTCCTCAAACGCGATTGGACGGTCACGATTAAACGTGATGACGATCTAGATCTACTTTTATTTAAATGTGATCGGACAGTCCGGATCAAATAGCGATGAACAGTTTAGATCATCCCTATTTAATACCAATTGGACGGTACAGATCAATGGCGATGGAAGGTCCAGATTAAAAGAAAATG